TTAACTTTTTTTTTTTCCCTGACAAGGACAGTTTCACTGATGGTTATGCCCATGAAAATGAAAAAGAAAAATGAAGATTGGAAGTTAGCCTTAATATGTCTGTGTTTGCATTAATGCCTCCATGACATAGGAGGACCTCCACTGAGGAAAAACAAGAGATGACATTTACAGTCACAGAAGGGAAACAATATATTCTATAAGTAATAAGTTAAAAAAATTTAAATACATCTTTTCTTTTCAGTTACACATGGTTAATGTGACTCCTTTTGGTAAAAGATCATTTTCTTTTACTTGATTTGTAATAAAAGAGCCTTATACTCACTCCAGAAACCGTGTATTGTCTACAGATGCTGGGACTGTTCAGGCAGCACTCTGCATTAGGGACATGGCTGTTAAATCGAGTTAAATTGTGTGGATTTGAATCTTTGCTCATACAACTTAAGTACACATGAGCCATCAAATCAAGTTATTGACATGCAGCGTCCTCACTGCAGAATGGGTATAATAAGGGTAGTTACTCTCACTTTTCATAAGATTAAGCGTAATGCATGCAAAATGCCTAGAAGGCAATCTGACATCTTAGTAGCAGTAGAGGTAGACGGGGTGGCTGATGCTGTTGCTACCTTCATTATAAACATTGTGCTAGCTTGTCTATTACCTGGAAGAAAGGTAGGCTTTATCATCAGCTCCTGGGAAAGAGGATTCAGAGTTGCCTAAGGCAACTAAAACCAATGAGGCCGTTATATCTAAGCAACTTCTTACGATACATCCATTTGAAAAGTTTAGTTGATGAGTCTATGATTACAAGCCTGGATGGCTAGCAAAGAAAACATGATCTGAAATGATGGAAATACATTACAAATGCAAGTTCTTTGACACTTAAGAGTTTTTAAAATATTTTTATTTTGTGTTTTATAAACTCTTCTCTTTTTTTTTTTTTTTTTTTTTTTTTACCATTTATTGAAATGCCCCATCAGGCTCTAATGCCTTTAATAGATTAAGAGAAGGTAGTTCATCAGGTGGTAGATGGTCTCACCGGATTGAATACAGTCATAGACAACACTGGCGGGAATGCCAAAGTCACTGGTAACGCCCTTTTCTGTAGAGAATAATATGTTCCCCAAAGGTTTGGCTCTATGATAGCAAGTGAGAAAAAATAGCCACAGATTGCCCAAAAAGATTTAAACATGTGTGTTTGTGGGGGTGTAGGATTAGCCATACATTCCTAGCCATCATTTGTTATTACTGTGAGTACGAATTACACTCTTACTCACTCAACTTCCCATGATTTCTGAACACCGCAGCTCTGAGGTAGTCAGTTTTGTAGGGCATAGCATGTTTGGGCACTTTTGCCATATTGAAACATTTCAGCTTCTTTCTGTACACAGATTTTAATAGCCAAGTTTCCAAGGATTTTATAAGAAACACTTGACTTTCTAACTTTAGATAAACCAAATGCTATTCTAAAAATACTTTGCATGGTCTGACTTAGGTACATTTTGAAGTAAAATCCAATTAAGCTCTCCTAATCAAATAAATGAATTCATTTATGATTTGCTCGAATAGAACCCATGGTGTTATATCACAGCACCAAAGTGAGATTCCTATGGAAAAATATCACTCATTCTTAACTGTTTTAAATTTTTTCACCTTTTAAATGTGCAAAACTAAAGTGCTTATGGTAAACCTGAATAGAATATACAGTCCCAAGTGAATGAGCATTCCTTTTTTTTTTTTTTTGGTAATGTTTATTTATTTCTGAGAGAGAGAGAGAGATAGGACACAAGCAGGGGAGGGGCAGAGAGAGACGGAGACACAGAATCTGAAGTGGGCTCCAGGCTCCGAGCTGTCAGCACACAGACCCACACGGGGCTCAAACTCATGAACCTTGAGATCATGACCTGAGCTGAAGTCAGACACTTAACTGAGTGAGCCACCCAGGTGCCCTGTGAGTGACCATTTTTAAGAGAATATGAAGGCATCTAAGTCAGGTTTGTTCTGCTTTTGGGAGCTGTATTTTCCCAACATATTTGGTTAACTTTTATCCAATAATTTATCAACCATTTTTCTGCCCTACTCTTTCTCTCTCCTTCTAGAACTTCAATTACAAGTATGTTAAACTGCTTGATATTATCCCATAGGAAATTATTAGGCTGTTGTTGTTGTTTTCAGATTGGATCCTTTTCAGTGAACTATCTTCATGGTAACTGACCCATCTGCCATTTTTTTTTTTTAATTTTTTTTTTTTCAACATTTATTTATTTTTGGGACAGAGAGAGACAGAGCATGAATGGGGGAGGGGCAGAGAGAGAGGGAGACACAGAATCGGAAACAGGCTCCAGGCTCTGAGCCATCAGCCCAGAGCCCGACGCAGGGCTCGAACTCCCGGACCGCGAGATCGTGACCTGGCTGAAGTCGGACGCTTAACCGACTGCGCCACCCAGGCGCCCCCCATCTGCCATTTTTAATCTGCAAAGCTTATGTAGCAAAGTTTTTATATCAGATACTATAGTTTTCAATCCAGACAATCCCAGAGTCTCCATCAGATTGTTTTTTTATTATTTTCATTTCTTATTAAGGTTCCATCTGTTTATGATGCTAACATACTTTAAGTCCCTGCAGATATACTTTCTTAACGTTTATTTATTTATTTTTGAAAGAAAAAGAGGGGGTACATGTGTGCGTGTGAGCATGCAGGGGAGGGCAGAGAGAGAAAGAGAGAGAGAATCTCAGGCAGGATCTGCACTGTCAGCACAGAGCCAGATGTGGGGCTTGAACTCACAAACCGTGAGATAATGACCTGAGCCCAAATCAAGTGTTGGACTCTTAACCGACTGAGCCACCCAGGTGCCCCAAGTGCATGAAGGTATATTAAATAGATGCTTTAAGTCCTTATGCATTATTTTCAACATTTGGGTCATCTCAGGATCAGATTCTATTTCTATTTGTTTTTTCTTTGCTTGTTTGATTAGGGGTCATGTCGTTCTGAGTTATGCATATGTAGTTATTTTTTATTTATGCTGGACATTGTGCACAAAATGATGCATGGATTATGTCCTTCCTTCCAAATGTGCTGGAGTTTGTTCTGGTGGGCTTTTAAACTAATTGTACATCCTTTGGGTGTTGCCATCAGTTTCATTCTTTTTTAGAGGAGATCTATTCAGTCTTAGTCCTACCATGTTTTTGCTCTTAGTTCTAGCACGTTACACTTGTTTTAGGGAATGGTACATATTCATAATGCATGGGGCTTTCTGGGCATCTGTGAAATGTCCCAAGGGCACAGTAAGAGCTCTGACTGGCCAGATGTCCAGTGTTTCTCAGTAGGGTATGACTTCTAGTATCATGGGTCCACTCTCAACTCTGCAGCAGAAGGTTGTTGTGTCAATGGGTCTCACCTGTTCTCATCTGCCTGACCCTGACCCAAGTCACCCAGTGAACGTCCACAGACTTATGGGGCTCTCCCATTTTCAGCCAGCCATTCTCAGATTCCATGTTCTGTAAGTTCTGTTTCAGTAGCCTAGAACAATTTGTTGCATCACCTCACCAAGCCACCATACCACCTGAGTTCCACTTTCCGACTGTGCAGTAAGAAAAATATACCAGGAGATTATGGGCTCACCTCATGGATTCCTTTTCTCCTATGGAACACAGTCATGCGCTGTCTGTTGTTTAACAAGATAAATGTCTCATATATTTTGTTGTTTTATAGTTGTCCCCAGAAAGAAGGCTAGCCTACTGGCATTCAACATGTCATGGAGCAAAGTGGATCTCTTGTTTAATTTTAATAATCTTCAAATATATTCTGGACAGACAATTCCCAGGTGTAGTATAGAGGGAAAGGTTTAGACGAAGCGTAAATGTAGGTTACAGAAGTCATGTACAACTTTGAGGTACCATATTATAGAGTAGAAAATACTCTGGTTTGGGTGAGAAAGATGTGCTGTCATGCAGATTGTAATATTCAAATTCTCCAAGAGAGGGGGAAACTGAGAACATTGTGTCTGAGTAACACTGTGTCTACTAATTTAGAGTCACATACTTTAGCCAATACAGGAAAGTGTCATCCTGTAGCTCACAGTGGCAGGTGGCATCCCACCATTACTATTCAATCATATTTGAGTAAAGTCAACTTCTTTAGGGCCTAATCTTAATATTTACAGTAACTCGATATTTACGCTAACTTAATATTATGCTAACTTGATTGTGAGAAGGTGATTTGCAATAAAAAAAATACCTTGGGTTATTATATACACACATCTCTTTACCTAGATATAGATACCTCTAGGATAATCTATTACTCTGATGAGATTATATGCACACATATATATATATATGCATACACATATATAAGGTATATATATTCACATATACACGTACATATATAGGATTGTATTTCCTATATGATTTTATGAGATTATAAGTAATAGTCTGATTATATCAATACATATATATTATTTTCTATTATTCTATATAATACATATAACAAATATATTATTCTATATATTAAACGAGACATGAGCAGATACCAGTGAAGACGGCACAGAGAAAACGAAGATGAAGAAAACTTCGTTTATATTTCTGGTACTGATATTGTTTCAGTTTATTCAAGTCGGTCAAATTATATAGCAAGTGTTTCATTCATGTAAAGATGGATATTTAATTTGTGTCTTCATTTTACACTCAAACATTAAGTAGCTGAGAAGTTGGTATGAAAAAAAACACATTTGGAACATTTAACGTCTTATCTGTCTGAATTCTAAGTCAGTTACTTTCTGGGCTCTAAACAAACTTGTGATACCGCATCCCACCTTGGCTGAAGGCAGGAATCGCCAATACTTGGCATGGTGAGGTATGCATGGTGTTTCTACTGGAATTACCGAGGCATCCTGCCGTGTCCACTTACGCCTCTCAAATACTAACGCACAGAAAATTCTCCCCAAAACATTATGCACAAAATCAGCCAGGTTCTTTCATAATACCTGCTTTGGACAGGGGCCACCAAGAGATTGGAAATAAGATGTGAAGTGAAGACTATCTCGCCCGCAGAAGTTACAGTCAGGGATTTACACCCTTCTACTCACTGTTCCTTTTCCGGAGCTGTTCATTACCAGCAACCACACAATGCCACCAAATCCCACAGAGATTATTATCAGAAGATCAGAAACCTCTTCTAGGTTATAAACATTCAAAAGGCAAGGATCTGGGTTAGATGGCCTGTTGAGCACTCAGAACACCTCCATACACCCAGCCATGAGTTTGGATGATCCCCTTACACAAGTTGGAGGAAAGTAGTATAGTGACACAAAGGTTCCACCTCTAGGATGTCTGTGGAAATCACTGGCCATTTTAGAATGAATTACATGGTTCCAAGTGCACAGGTTGACTTTCAGGCTTGACCGTACTCACCTTCACAGACGGGCTGCAGTCCTGACCATGAGCCATTGAGCAAACACGTCCGCTCAGGAGAGCCCCTCAGCTGATAACCCATCTCACAGGAGAAACGGAGAAGGCTCTTGGCCTTGAGTTCATCTCCAAGCCGGGATCCATGCGCTGGGGTCCCCGGATCCCCACAAAATCCAGGATCATTTCCTATTGAATGCAGACACAAATGGTAATACAGAATACTGTTAGACTTGTTTACCACAGCTGCTAAGTTTAAGGAGACTGTGCATTACAGTCACACTGCATTCTGGAGATCTCCTAAGAAAGACTTTCTCGATTGTAGCACAAGTGGAGAACATTAAGAAATTGTTCCCGTGTGACTAAACAAACTAGCTTATTAAAATGCAGTATGGGGGCACCTGGGTGGCTTGGTCAGGTAAGCGTCCGACTTCAGCTCAGGTCACGATCTCACGGTCCGTGAGTTCGCGCCCCGCGTCAGGCTCTGTGCTGACCGCTCAGAGACTGGAGCCTGTTTCAGATTCTGTGTCTCCCTCTCTCTCTGCCCCTCCCCTGTTCACGCTCTGTCTCTCTCTGTCCCAAAAATAAATAGACGTTAAAAAAAAAATAAAAAAAAAAAAATGCAGTACGACAACAGTTTATATTCTCTGGAAGAAGTAAAATCCTGGGAATGATGAACGCAGGGATTGTCCACTGGATGCATCAGTACAGATAATGAAAGGGAAATGGGACTAAGTTGTATTGTGTAAGAACCAATCAAATGAGAGGTTTGGTTCTTCTCAATTATGTCCAGAGCTGCTGACTCACTGACTTTTATTTATTTACTTAAGAATTATTCATGAAAGAATTAAGATGACGTTGTTTTCAAAGGGGGTCGATGGAATTATCAATTACCGAGACAGAGAAGATGTGGAAGAACTGAAAGGAGGTACGGAGAAGGAATCAAGAATGACCAGGGACAAACTGAGTCCAGGTAGGCGGGCCTCTTGGCCAAGGTGAAAAAGAACTCCCAGGACTCCCACAGGAGGAAATGGGAAGTGACTGGCACTTGAAGGTGTTGATGAAGATTGGAGATGACCAGATGGCACACTGGCGTGTCTGTGCCATGACACCACATCGTAAGCAATTCCTCACCTGTACAGTGGGGTAGCGCCCCACTCCAGTGACTATCCTCTTGACACACTCTAGTGCTGTTGCCTACAAGATCACGGCTCCCTTTGCACGCGTAGTGAACTACGGCACCATACGTAAATAGTTCTCCAGTTAGGATAGCATTGGCAGGAACCCCTGGGTGTCCACATGATATAGCTTAGGAAAAAAAAAATTAAAATAAATGATTACATCAGTCCTGTTGAAGTGCTCATGTTGGTAAGTCTCCCATACAGACACCCATACAAACACCACCTATAAAATGAAAAGAGCCTAAATATACTGGCAAATGCCTGCAGTGCCCAATAAATGGAAAATACCATGTTCCAGATGACAGTCCCCCTCCTAAATATCCATATATTACTGAACACAAAGAAAGGGTCTGTCAGTGAATCTTGTTTTAGCTTTGTTTTATCTTAAGGTAGTTTTGCTTAAGATAAAAATTTCCATGTAGGCTTTCAAAGAGAAAGTCATTCTACCTACATTTTTTCTCCACCTGCCCTTAACTTTATTAAAAAAAAAAAAATCAGTATTATATTATACAAAATGTTACAAGTTACCTAGATTCCTGAAAACTATTTCCATGTAACTCTACAAGTATATGACTATTACTATGACAATCTTATACTGGTTTCTGGGGAGAAAAGTCTGTTGTATCTGCTTAATCTTCCAGTCTGTGGATCCAGGAAGACCCTTTTAACAATTTTCCTTGGAATAGGTGGTGGTCTAACATGTTGAATTAGTAGTAATAAGAAATTAGCGATTAACTTTCCCTCAGTATATTCTATACAATAATTTCAGCCTTCCCGTTCATTTCTTTAAAATGATGCCAAGTCAGGCCTATAATCCACTCATAAATTATCCTTAAAAAGGAAAATTCCGGAATCCAGATTAATGTAGGCTAGTGAAGATTTAGCTCTCCTTTTCTGTAAAGTCCCAGCTTCGGATTCACAGTGGACAAATTTTGTGCGGCACGCAACTCTGGCAGGACTCAGGCTACAGACAAATCATTCAAAGCCCACTGATGTAACACCCGAGCGTCACTGCATTTGATCACTGGCAACCTAAAAGTGATATCAACCAGAGAGGTAGATTTAAAAGGCGGAAACACATTAGGCATCCCCTGAGTCACATTCGCCCTTATATCGATACGGTCTTACACTGACATCCATTCATTGGTGAATGAGATTCTATCTAGACGGAGTCCTAAAAGGAAGCTAATTAGGGCTGAATTAGTAAACGGTTGGCAAATGACCAGTTCCAGGTGAAATTAGAAGAGAAAAAAAAGCAGCGAGACAATAGCAGGAACAAGAGATGAAGCTTAGCAGCTGTAGCCCAAGTACAAGCAAATGGCCCCTCGGAGAACCTGTATCCCCAGGCTCATGGTAATTCCGACTGTTAATGACAGCAAGCGGTGGGAACCAGCCACCCAGAAGGATGAGAGTCACTTACAACCTAGTTCCTGGAGATCTGGAGCACACTGGCGTCATTACAAAAACTAATGGAAGTCTCACATCAACCGGGGAAGATGCAAAAGAAATGTGTGGGGAGGCAGAGACAGAAAAACTAATTTCTCTGAAAAATTCCCGTGTGTGAAGGCCTAGAAAACCAGAAAGCAGCCAACATATGATGAAGATTGTAATCAATTTATAGATGCATTTTTGAGTGTATGAAGCCGTGCATTTGATTTTGAAAGAAGTCACGCTTTCTCCATAGAAATTAATTCTCTCATTACAATTAGAATTCGAGACGAGTTTCCATGTAGATTGGGAGGGTTGTGAGGGACACTGAATTACAGGACAAACAATCTCCAGGACTAATTTATTCTAAAAATGTACTAAAAACGCTATAATGCAAGAGGTAAGACAGACTATCACTTTTTTTTTCAGTAAATTCAATTTAAGGTGTAATTGTCATTTCCCACATCCTCTATGCACATAAAACGAATACGAAGAAGATGACATTTTGATTTTAAGGACTGTTTTGTTTCCGAATGATTTTTAAAAGGCCAAAAAGACCCCTTTTCCTAAACTGTCAGACTGTTTGAAAAAGAGGATGGCTTTAAGCTAATGGACAATATGGTCTATCAAGTTAAAAGAAGGTAAGACTGAAAGCTATTTGGGGAAAATGTATTCTTGTTCATCTACATGGTCTACAAATACTGATAATGTCGTGAGAGGGGCCACATAATGATGACCTATAATTGTGTCTGCCTAGAAATACTGCCTCCGTTCTTTAGGGCAATGTGCTTTCCTCTTAATCATATGGGTCAGGAGGAGGATACGGTCAAGAATCTATCGTCCTTGCTGTAATAAGCAAACACAGACTCAGAATGAGTCCAACCGCTGCCCCAAACACCGGCTCTGCTTCCTTCTGAAGCTGGTGTCAGAATTTGCTTGTGTCCCCTCTCCTTTCGTGACCCTTGAACTTGTCTGAGTTGCATTTTGTGATTTCTGGCCAATCGATAAAGATATCATAATAACTTACACAATCTGTAAAGACTTTAATTTTTTTTCTTTTCTCTTTTGTTCTGCTCATGGTCTTACAGGGCTCTGTGGCACAAGAATCCAAGATACCCCTCACTTACTCAAACACTTGGGTAAAGACCGATCCCATAAGCCATTCGCCGTACAGGTTAAGGCAGAAGATCCCAACAAGTAGAATCCCTTCTTGCAATGATACATGATACTCATTCCGTATTCAAAACTCTCAGGGAAATTCTGTTGCCCGTGACGAATGGCGTTTTCCACAAAGCCTGGATCTGAGCAGTTCACCACTAGGGGAAAAAGAAAAAGTTACACACCATTTAGATACACTGATAAGCAAAACAGGTCTGCAAAGAGGCCCCACTCATCATTTTAGAAAGGCTGGAAGATGACACCATCACAGCTGAGGTTTATCATAAATGTTCTTCCCTTGACAGATTCTACTTACTGCTGGGGGCCAATATGCTTCAAAAACTGTCAAGCAATGTACCTGCTACTACGGCAGTTTTTACAACATGAGACCGATTCCCTGTATTTATTTCCTAATAACAGACTTCTTCAATATAAAGTCTAAAAATGGTTCTCTTGGTTAAGATTTTATGTCAGGAAGATGTTAAAACAGAACCCGCCGAAATTAGTTTAGTTTAAATATTCTTATTCGCATGTAATGTTTCAGGACAGTCGGTGACACACTAATCCCTCCCCCCCCACCCCCTGCCTGCATTAATTAAGGCTTCAATATGTGTGCCTAAAGTAATTTCTGCTATATGTGGAATGCAAACAAAAATGACAATTCTTCCATCAACGCTTAATAGAAATGTAAATCAAGCCAGCCTCTGATTTCAGCCTCTTCCCCCTTTAGAAACAGCCCCGCAGTGAAACAGTCCGCTGTGGCACTCAGGACATGCTCTGGTTAATCCGAATGGCACTCTATTAGCCTGAATGCCTGTTGGCATCTGTAAGGGAATTAGCAATGTGCTTTCGCAGGTGCAGAGGAAAAGAAAGAACCCCTGATTATCTCAGGCTTTGACCCACCACACCAGTGAATGACACAGCTGCCGTGAAAGCTGCACTCTCTCCAGATATTTCTGGCTCAGAAAGCGGCTGCTGAACTAATTCTCAGGCAGTCGGTGCACGTCACGGGTCCCAGTGGCTGGGAGCAAAGCCTTTCCTTATCTGTGCGTTTGATTTCCGCTTGGTAGTAAGCAAGGTGGAGGGCAGAATGGACAATTACAAAGACCCCTTTGAGTGCTGTCACATCGTAGTCTATGCTTTTTAGAACAGTCCTGAGTTGAGAGAAGAAAGATTCAAGTTCTCCTGAGCCAAAAAAGCCCCTGTGTATGGAGCACGGCAAACACTGCAGGCTAAAATTATAACCGGACCCACTGACATAGCGGGGATTACCCGCCCGGAGAAAGTCTAACGTACTAGAAAGACTGATGATTTTTATAACCCGGCGTTTCGAGTTGTGTGTCCAGCCCAGGAGACAGAGACAGTTTGCTAGCGATACACCTTCATAAGCAGCAAAGTGCTTCCCTGGCCGGCATGCCGCAGGCACTCTGTGTTCCCGTTCCTGTCCACGTTCCTCTCGGCAGCCAGTCCGAAACATGGCATCGGGGTCTTCGGTCGTGGACGGAGTGAGCCAGGTCCCGGACGCCTCCACCAGGACACCCAGCAGATCCCCAGTGCTTCACAGGACTCCGCACGCCCTGGTTGAGCTCCTACTTTTCTCTTCTGTACTTTCGTGTTTTGCCCCGGCTTTCTTCGGTATAGGCCAATCGTGTGGTGGATGAGAAACAGGAAATGTACAGAGCAACTGTCATGCAGGGTCCAGAGCTCAACAGAAGGACCCAGCTGGAGATGAGAACACGGAGAAGAGGGAGGCCATTGGCAGAGAGGTAGTAATTAGTGATGCTGAGATCCCAACTGCCTCCCTCTCTCTGCAGGCCAAGGGATGGGCTGTTGTCTGAGTTCCTCCATGGCCAGAGGACGAGGATTTAGATCACTCGACTTCCATGCCCAACGGCTTTGAAACCCTGGGCTTGGTTTCTCCCCGATGGCCCCTCTTGCCCATCCGGAGGAGAGACAGGAGTGCCCTCATTACCAGCAGCCACTGTGGGACTTGGGCTGCACAGAATCGTCTAGAAGGAGCACCGGAGTGCTGAGTCCCAGCCACCTTCCCTTTCTTTCACCCACTTCATCACCCTTCAAAGGTGCTTCACTTTATGAAGAAGTAAAAATGCTTCACAATGATCATCGTTGCCTGAGCGCCAATGGGGAAAACTGAATTGTTCCTTATGTTCTAAGAGTCACGTCTACAAAACCCTAAATCTGCTCGTACATTTCTTCGGTCTTGTCCTATCACATCATTCCTGGGCAGCTGCAGTCAGACACATCCATTTCCATTCCTTCCGATTTATTTCGGAGGCTCCAGTAGGAGATTCGGCCGTGTATTTCTGCTGGGGGTAGGAATAACTTGATTTAGCAGTCTGTGCCACGGGGGGCTCTGAGATGGTCTGTGCCGCGGTCGCACGAAGGTGTGCTTGGCCACATGGAAGGCGGGCTGCCCGCCGGAAGAATTTGCGGGTGTCCGCGAACAGCTCTTCCATCCAGGTCCTTCCTCCACTTTTGCACGGGATCCCCGTCTCGGGGTCCCACGGGCCCAGGCCCGCGTGAGTTGCAACCGTGAGCTGTCAGCAGGGTGGAGGGGATCAAATTCCTTCAATGTTCTCTTCACGTGTGAAATGACCCACGAGGTTGATGAAGACCAGCCAGACCTGCTGCAAAGACCTGACCTTCTATGTTTGCCACGTGGAGCCCAGGAGAGGGTAACACCCGGGAGAGAAATCAGTATCTCACGGTGGAGCTCTTCATCTGGTCTTAAGCTCTCACTAACCAACACACCGGGAGCCAACAGGTGGACTTGAGGTCCAGGTATTAAAACGTGATGCAGAACTAAATTCCATCAGCTAGAAGGAACGAGATGCCCTAGACGCTGGCCCAGCAGGGAGGAGTTCAAGAGGGGGCACAAAGTGTGTTCCCTGGGGACGCTTGGGTGTGTCAGAGGGCAAGGGAAGACATTAATATAATGATCAGTGGCATGCCTGAGGTCACAAGGATGGTCACTCTAGAACTAAGTAAGGATTAGGGCTCCTGATTACCTGTCCAGTAAAGCATATTTATAAAAATGCATGAGTATTTCTTGATAACATGAATCCCAAAGGGATCCCCTCCATTGCCTTTTTTTGTTTTTTGGAGAATAACTGCTATAAATTTTAGCTTCCAAAAATTCTGTAGAGGCTATGTATGGAGCCTCTTCTCTACACATAATCTTTATTCTTGGAGAAGTTATCTGGAAAAATATTTGAGCAACATAGAGAGACAAAAAACATTGCACATCCGGGGTGTCTGGGTGGCTCAGTTGGTTAAGCTTCTGACTTGGGCTCATGTAGGTTCGAGCCCCGGGTCGGGCTCTGTGCTGACAGCTAGGAGCCTGGAGCCTGCTTCTGACTCTATGTCTCCCTCTCTTTCTGCCCCTCCCCCACCATGCTCTGTCTCTTTCTGTCTCTCAAAAATGAATGTTAAAAAAAAATTTACAAATAGCACATCCTATGATTTCCACTTTTCAACATGTATTCTCTTTCAAACTGTTTTGAGTAGTAACAGTCCATTTTATCCAACATTGCCCTAAATCTGCTCGTGCATTCTTTCTGTCCTGTCCTATTGAATCAGTCCTAAACAGCTGCAGTCAGACACAAATATCACCCTCATCTGAATATTGAGTGCATAGATAACCTGAGCAATGAAATATTATAATGCCAGTTTTTGAAACATGATTTGCTAATTATTGGATCCAATGTATTCCACCTTCAGTCTCTAAGAGCGATTCACTTTCCCTTGATGTGCTTCAAACTGTAGGACCCTGCAAAGCACTCAGCCTCTCAATCCTGTTCCGTCCAGACCAGCGTGGTCACGTGCCTGTGCACTGTCTCATTAGACGCCACCTCATTAACCGGCCCTAGTTTGTCGTGTGCTGGAATCAACATCCGCCCCACGTTCTTGATTCTGTACATAAACCCCAAAGCAATCACCATGTTTTCGTGTAAAACCTCTCTGATGGAAAATATGACAGATTTCTCCAGCTGTTCAAAACTAGAAACTAGACCATTTGCTTCTTCCAGGTCGTGGGAAAATAAAGAAAAAGGCACCATGAGAACGTGCCACAGTCACTAATAGCGGGGACCTGGGTGGTCTGGACAGTGAAACTCCTAAAATACTTTGCTAGGTTTGTTACGGATTTCATTCCACCCTGTTATTTGGCTGGGGCAATCTCTGAAGCCTTCAGTTGCTTCTGAATCGAATAATGGAATTCTGAATTCCGTCTCCGGTTCTCAGAAACAATTTTCATAATACATTCTTCTATTAAACACAAGAGATTTCTTTGTAGGCTTCTTATATCACTTGTCCGTTTATTAAAATTTATTAAGTAGCAATCAATATAAAGATTATAAGGCTTTACTTGGCAGGTGTCTGAGACGATTCTAACAGCACCATGCAATCTAACCTCTATATCTAGAATCTGGTTCGAAGTAGGAAATCCAAAACAGAATCCAAAGTGCTTTTCAATCTTTGATGTCAACACTGTTGCCTACAGGCCTAGTGTTTTCATTTTTCACCACTTTATGGAGATAAGAGTGACGTGTGAAGAGCTGCACATAATTCATAGAAAACGGGATAAGTACGATCTGGGGATAAGTAGACACCCGGGAAA